CCTATGATGCTGCTTGGCCTGCTGTGTTCATCCAGCTCTGCACCTTGTTGTCTCGGATTCTCCAGCATCTGCAGTTCCTACTATCTCTCCTTTATTGTTCTATTGCTTTGAACATGCTATTATGTACTGTGGAAAAAGCTAGGTCAGGAGTGACTTTGCAGTTAGACAAGGGAAGAATAAATTGCTCTGCCCTAATTTTTGCAGGTGGCATTGCCCTGCTGAAAAATTCACGTACCAGGATGAGGAAAAACCTTGAAATAATCGAAGACTTCTGTCAGACTATCAACATCATGAAAAACAAAGGAATCCAAAGGTAAGACCTTTGTGTATAACATTGAAGGCAGCTGGAAGTTGAGTGGTGAGAAAATCAAATTTATCCCCCTGGGCGATTTGGAGAAAAATCTTATTGCAGGGATTTACCGGTGGAAGGATGTTCCGGAAACAAAGTGGGTTGGAAAGATTGAGAACTAGGTCACCCATTTAGAATTGACTGCTCTCTGCCCAAATCAAAAGAACATGTGTCATTCCAGGTTATATTACAACCTTATTCTCAGAAACAGAAGTTTCTCAGAACATCTTACATAACCTCAACTTGGTCATCAGAAAGGCTGCTACGCAATTTCTCCACTTTCCACCTTATATAATGGATGATGCTTATATGCCTGCAATAGGGTTGGAGGGCAAGGTTTACTGAAGCTAGTAGTACAAATCTCAAATGCTATTTGCAGGCATATAAACATCATCCATTATATAAGGTGGAAAGTGGAGAAATTGCGTAGCAGCCTTTCTGATTACCAAGTCGAGGTTATGTAAGATACTGGCCTCTTTCCAGTGTTTGAAAAAGATAACTCGGACATCTTAAAGACTTTAAGGGAGCTCAAGATCCTGAAAAAAGTTGAGATCTTTACACTTAAACAGAACACCAGTCCCCCAACAGTGATCGTCAAACTCCTGGATCAACCTGATCAGTTAACATCTGTGATCGGTCCCATCATACATTATGATAGGTAGAGACATTTGAATCATAGAACAGAATCATGGAATCCTTACTGCGTGGAACAGGTCATTCGGCCCAGAGTCCACATTGACCCTCTGAAGAACATCCCACCCATACCCACCCCACCCCCCAACCCTGTCCTTGTAACCCTGCATTTCCCATGGCTCATCCTCCTAGCCTGCATATCCCTGGACACTACGGGTAATTTAGTGTAGCCAATCTACCTAGCCTGCACATCTTTGGATACTGGGAGATGGCTAAACTGATTGAATTAAAAGCCAAGGAGCAAGGGTCAGTTAGTTTAAACATGATACAGTGTCAAGCTCTTGGATGTGACCAGCACATAATATTAAGTCATCAAGACTGATTAATGGATTGTTGCTATGCTGTAATTTGTTCCCTACAAGGATTGTATTATCCAGAGATAGGCCACATGCCTGGAAAGAGTGCAAAATGTGCAGGTCCCTGTTAGAAACACAATTACACATTTCAGGTCTTTGCCTATTCATCAAGAATACATGGATGAAGAGGCACAATAAAATTGTTGCCAAATTTACAACAGTATATAGAGGAATATGATTGGACAACATACGACTTACAGACAACAAAGGTCACATCTGGAAACCAGATTTGATTTTCATGAAGAAATAGATTGCGGTGGTCAACGTGATGGTGAGGTTCCAGGATGATAACAAGTCTTTGGAGACAGCATGAACAGAAAAGGCGTTGAAATACAGTTATTTACATTGAGAATTCAAGGAGTTTAGAGGAGGAGTGGAACCCTTCTATTTTGGTTTCATAATGGGAGTGGGAGGAAAATGGTTTGAACAGAATGACTATCTTATGAAATTTTTAGGGATTCAAGGTATCTCTTGCTTGACCACAGCCCTGACACTGGAGTCTCTTCAGATCTTCAATGACAGACAAGACTGTAGATCTTCAGTTTCATGGGGTATTTTATTGATAAGATAGTAAGTCTTTAGCAGAGACCTTTAACTTGTAAGGATAGAGAATCTATATATAAATAATGGGTGTCTGGGGTGGTGGGAAAAATTAGTATAAATATAGAATATAGGTAGTTGTTAGACATTTAATTGGTGAAGGGATTTATATTACAACATATCAAATGATGTATTTATGGTATTCTAACCAGCTCGACTTCCAGTCTTAGTTTCCCACTGGTGGGTTATCCTTCCACTTGGTGAGGTAGTCCCCCTAACCCCTGGTATTGTCCGTGATCCTGTCCTCTTTAACATCAATGCTTTTCCACGAGAGATTGTTGTACATTGACAGGTGATGACAAAATCCGGACAAGTCAGTTATCTGAGTATCCTTCAAATAGTTAGATATTAAGGAGATTCATTTGTTGTTAAGTATGTGGAACAGAACTGAATGAACACCCAGATTATTGACACTTGAATTACTTATAGGCAAAGGCACTGGCTAGTGTACTCCTGAGACATGGAGGCAGGGGTTCCAGGGCTTATATATAGATCTTGGCTGTAGCAGCTATAGTAGGGATGCAACAATTGTTCTCTCACTCTAGAAGTAGGGATGAGGAGGAGTGAACATTTGGTATCCCTTTACAAATGAAGAGTAAATACTTGGCTGAGTTACTGAATCAATGACCACAGACTGTATCTGGCTGAGAAAAAAAATCTTCAGAGTGAAATGTGATGACGACTTTCAGTATGTGAGGAGGGAATTTGAACTTTAGCATGCTCACATGTGGTCATCACAGATTTGATTACTAAGTTTATCAGCTGGTTGGTTCAGTTCAGTATGTGTCTCACAAATGGTCTTGTCACCTTTAAAGAAAAAATATATTTGGCAAGAAGCCTGCCCAAGACTTCCCATTGCAGCCACACAAACTTATTTATATACAATTCCAAACTCTTGAACACACTGGAATGCTCTCCTTTCCCAAACGTGAATGCAGCAGCCGTCATTGAGCAAATCACCCAAGATCTAGATGCCCTCTCATCCCTCCGTGAATGAGTTGGTGTCTGTTGGCCCAACATTTCCACAACAGTACAGCTGAGATTGAGCACTTTATAGTGTGGATATCTACTCGTCACCTTGCTGCCCACATCAACACACAGGAGGCAATATCATCACTTGCTCCTCAACAGTAAGAGATCTAAATTGGCTGTAAAAACATGAGATAAAATGTCAAAAAGAAAACTGTACAAATCTTGTGTCACTGCATTCAAGGTGGGTGATTTTTGCTCAAAGCAACTTTAACAGTGGCATTGATGTTGCATGACAGACAATGACTGACTTTGCTTAATCAATACAAATAGAATTTGAAAAGAATCTTTGCTCATCTCAAATAAAGATCTGGAAAATTTCTGTTCTGATCAGATGAACTTCACCCAACATTTAAACCATTATGATTATGCGACACAGAAACATAAGGTCATCAAGTATTGCAAGCCCTTCAGACAGCGTTCTTCTTCCACCATGAGCACCCCCCTCAAACCCACCTCACCACCCCTGCATGTGCCTTCCTTCAGTTTAGGATACTTTTATAATTTCAATACAAATTTGTGGAAGACCATACTACAGTGGAACAGCAAAAGAAGCTCCGCACTTCCTTTCAGCAGCTCATTATCAAAATGCATTTAAAAAGGTCAGTACAAAAATTTCTACTTGGAGTTGCTGCTTCTCCCAGAACTACCTCATTGGCTCTAAGAATGGCTTATCCAAATTTCCATTCTAACTAAAAACAAACAATGCCAACACATCTCACTGCCGGCATCCAACATCAGTTGCGACCATATTGAGCTAGTTCATACGTGCCAGAACCAGGCAGTTCACTCAGCAGTTATCAGATGCTTGGTTTGTCACTGTAGAAGGGCGTCACATGGAACATGTAGCAATGTGTGCAGACCCGGACTGGTTTCATCTGGCCGTATCGAGGTAAGGGAGCAGAATGAGAAGAGCAACGTGAGCAGAAGATCTGTTAAATGAAAAGGCATTTAAACTTCATGTAGGGAAAGGAAATTGGTTAACAGTCAAGTTCTGGAGGTTCTCATAACATTTTTGACATGAAAACAGACATAAATGAATGGCTCACATAGAATTTACAGTACAGAATCAAGCCATTCATTCCAACTGGTCATTAGTAATTTGTGTGCAGAAAGCAGGAACAGGGTACGGAGTTAGATGATTAGCTATTTACCAACACTGATAGTCCATTTGAGTCATCCATATTCCACCTAGTACATTCCTGTATTCCCTTCTAAAATATTAACTGGCATTCCTAAAATCCATCGGTATTAGTCACCTCAACTGTTTCCTGTGGTAGGATTCTCAACAATCTAACCACTCTCTGGGTACTGATGTCATTTATATGTCTATATCTATGGCTATGACACACACACACACACACACACACACACGGAAACATTAGAAGTTACAGTCCATTGCTGAATCAGATAGGGGGCTGCTGGCTCCTTTTGATACATATGCATGGGAGAGCTTGAAGATTATGCATTGAATATAAAGGACAATATAATCACACAACATTTGCCTTCATTGTCAGCAAATCTGCAGTTCTCGTGTTCCTTTTGGATTTATGTACTTATCTTGATCCCAAACTTTAACTTATTAAATTTTTAAAATAATGTTTTTGTTTTCTAATCATTTCAACGTGTGTACTCAAGTAATCAAATTACGCTGCCTATCAAATATGAAGGAAAGTTGATAATTTTGGACATAATACTTAACATTTCATGCTGGGCCTCTGTTTCGGATGGGGTGGGTGGAAGATACAGTGCAGTTAGTACAATCCCACAGCTGTTGAGTAGCGAATATGGGGCTGGGACAGAATGCGTGCTGGCGCAAGGTGGGAGGTGGGGGGCGTGAGAGGGCGAGTGCGAGAGTCCGAGCATGAGTGTGACACAGTGAGCAGGGGTGGGAGCGGCACAGCGGGGGCAGGGTGAGCGAGACACAGCACACAGGGTGGGCGAGACACAGAGAGAAGGGAGTGCAAGTGAGAGCGCGAGCAGGGGGTGCATGCAGGGGGCTGTGTGTGCGGGGGGGCGGTTTGGGAGAGTTGTTTACAAGAGGTTATAAAAATATTATTTACTATATTATATTCGCTTATTGTGCTATATCTTGAAAGAAGAAAACCCCGTAAAGCAGTAGGTAATATCACTTCGTTACTTCATCACTTCAAGAAAAAGCTTGTGAGAATCAAAAAGTAGCCCCCAGTAAAATCAAAAAGTAGCCCTTGACAAAATTTCACAAGAAGCCCTTAAAATTTTTAGCCTCTGCTCTAAAGTATACATAATTTCCAACTTTATGCTCACCTGGAAGGGCTTACGGAGGGCCAGGTGCCTTCTAGTTTGTTGTCCAAATCACGATTCTTGATGTGAAGGCCAAAGATAGACAATGCATTGTAGCTAGGCTGGGCATTTCAGATCTAAATTGAGTACCCACTCACTTAGTCTGTGAAACTTTAGCTTTCTGCTTTCAGCCACACAATTATAGCCCCTAGTTCTGTATCATCTGCAAACCTGGATACACAACTCTATTCCATAATTAATATCATGAATAAATAAAGCTTATGTCTTGGTTGGTGCAAATCTCTAACAAGCATCACTTGTCACTTCTAATGAAAGAAAAGTTATTTTATTCTTAACCCCAAACCAATAAGAAAATTCAGATGATGCCAGACTGATACCAGAACTTGCTTCAATACTATGTGGCTGAAGTGAAGAGTTCAAATGCATTTAAGGGGAAAAAGACAAACGTATGAGGGAGAAGGAAATAGATGCTCAAGATGTTAGATTTTTTGGAGCAAAGAGGCTGAGAAGAGGTCTAAGATAAGGCCTGACTGCAGCATAAACGCCAAGGAGACTGGTTGTGCCAAATGGCCTGTTTCTGTGCTGTGTATTCTATTGAACTCGTCATACGCTTACCTCTAAATGTATGCATTGTCTTTTTTATAAATAATTTCTCATGTAGAACATTATTAAATGTTTTTGAGAGGTTCATATAGATAACATTTACAGACCACCTTCTATTGACACTTCTCACAACCTCTTTGATCAACTGGATTAGACATACATGACCCATCCATCGGAAACCTTCGATCAGCTCATAACTGTCAAAATCATTTGGTCCCTGATGACAAATCAGATTAACTTTCTTGAAGTAGAAATTAAACTGATAGGTTTATAATTATCTGTTATATTGCCCATTTGCAATTTCCTAATCCAAAGGTACAACTCTATAAAGCTTTCTAAAATAATGATGAATGCACTGTAATTTCTTGACCAGTTACTTTTAATATGCTGGTATAGAAACTAGCAGCTCTGATGGATTTGTCTATTTACCAGATTTTGCTTCTGTATGGTCATTTGATTTTAATATTTGAAGTTGACCAAATTTATCACACCATATTTAAAATGTTTATACTGACCAGAGAAGCAGTTAGACTCCCTCCATCTATAATGTCTAAACTACAATCTCTTCACACTTTGATTTATAACTATAATTTGGACGTAGGTGTCAGTGGCTAAGCCGAATTTATAGCTGAATTCAGTAATGCTGAGGACATCAAGAACCAATCAAATAGTGTGAGATTGGAGTCAGATGGAGAACTAGACAAAGCAGCATTGCTGGAAACCCTTTCCTTGAAGGGCATCAATTGTGCTTTTACACCAATCAGCAATGTCTGATGGTCTAATTTCTGGAGTTAGCCCAGAATTTACCAGGTTGATTGAATTCAATTTTGCACCATATAATTAAAATTGAATTCAAGGCCACTAAGTTGCAAGTCAAGTACCATAACTGATCAGACTCTTGTAACTTTGTATTTTGTTGACACAAAGGTAGGTAGGGAAATTAGTTGAGGAGGACACAAGACAGTTACAAAGTATACTTGACAGGTTATGAGAATGGGCAAAGATGTGGGATGCAGAATATAATGTAGGAAATTGGCAAGTGTTCATTTTGGCAGGAAGAATGTTGTCTAAATGGTGAGGGTTTACAGAGCTTTGAAATGCAGAGATATCTGGGAGTCCTCATGCATGAATTGCAAAAGGATAGGATGTAGGTTCAGCAGGAAAACTAATAGAGCATTGTCATTTATGTGGAGGGGATTCAAATACAAAAGTGCACAGAGGTTATGCTTCAGCTCCAGGGAGCTGGTGAGACTGCATTCGAAGTGCTGTGCACTGTATCGGTCACCTCATTTGCAGAAGGCTATAAGTCCATTTGAGGCAGTTTTGTTCAGGTTTACTGGGTTAATACTTTGAATGAGAGGGTTGTCTCTGAGAAAAGATTGAACAAGCTGGTCTTGTACCCTCTGGAGTTTAGAAGCGGGAAAGACAACTTGATTAAAGTGTACAGAAAGCTAAGGGGTTTTGACAGGGTAGAGGATGTTTACTCTTATGGGAGAAGGTAGAACTTGGGTTCTGTGTTTTAAAATCCCCTTTAAAACAGGCAGACTTTTTTCTCCAGGGGTCATGACTCTTTCAAATTCTACCTGAAAAGGTCACGGAAGTACAGTCCTTGAATATTTTCGAGATAAAAGTAGATGGATTCTTGTTAACCAATGACGTGAAAGGATATCAGGGGCAGGTGGGAATGTAGATTTGAGGTTACAGTTAAATCAGCCATGATCATACTGAATGGAACAGGCTCGAGGGGCTGAATGGCTCTCCTGTTGCTGATTCAAATGTTCTTACGTCATGACACAAAGTTAACATCTCATTCTCAACTCCAATCAGCACACCAGCCAGGGATAAAAACTCAAACATAAATCAAGTGAAACTGGATAGTTTTTTTTACAAATTCCATTAAAAAAGGCACACAATTGACTTTGAGGCTGGAAATTCATTTTGTTTAAAATTCTCCATCAAGCCTAGTGCTTAACCAATTACCTTTCCACAGCTTCTACAATGATGCTTTCTTCGAATCACAGTGAATGGTGCCTTGCATGCGGTACAGTAACTACAGACTTCATCTGGAACCCATTCTGGAGGATCTGTCAGAAACAGGAAAAAGACTTCATCAGCAACAGGTAATCATGCAGAAATCATGTCGCGAAAGTCCAACTTCTACCCCTGCCTCCATAATAATGACTTCTTTAAAAATATAAATATGGCACAATTGCATTTCACATTGTTTTAGAATTCAGAAATATATAATGAATTTTAAAATCAGGTGGAATATCTCAGTATTCAAATTTACATGATGGTGGACTCATAATTATAGGAGGAAAGCACATGGGAAACCTTTATAAAGCTCTGGTTTGATCACCGTTACAGCATTGTGCCCAGTTTTGGTTACCACACTTTAGAAAATAGAGAAGGGTTCTCAAGAGGATGCAGAAAAGATTTATCAGAATGGTTCAGGGGTGGGGATTTCATCTATAAAGGTTAGGTGGGAGAAGCTAGGGTTATTCTCCTTGAAGCAAAGATTGAAGTGAAATTTGATGGACTTGTACAATATTGTGATAGGTATAAACAAGGTAGACAAGGACAAACTGTTTCCATTAGCTGGTATGAGGACTCAGAGACACAGACATTATAGATTTCTGGTAAGGGGTGTCAAGAGAAGTCTATTTATAATTATTTGGAAAATGTTGTTCACAATGGCGTTTGAAGCAGGGATTATGAATTATTTTAATGGAAATTAGATGATCACTTAAGGGAGATAAACTCAGACCTAGGGGGATATAGTGGGAAATGAGACTGACTGTTTTACTCAACACGGGCCAGCACAGACTCAATGGACAGAATGGCTTCCTTCTTTGCTATAGATGACTATGATTGTGCATATTACATAGGCATGTATGTGAGGGAGTAGTGACAGTAGGGGGTGAAGAAAAGCATCAACTGAACAAGATCCCTCCTGTGCTTTCTGTCTCATATGATAATCACTTTAATGCCTCCTACCCAACAGAAACCTGCAAAGTTCAAAAAGGAAACCAGTAATCAAGAGCTGGGTCTACTCTTAATGGCACATGTGGCTGTCTGTGATGAGCTGATACTCTTCACAGAAAAAAAGCAAAACTATGCCTTGTGTACTTTGAATGCAATTAACCCTCACCCGAATTCCTTTTCAGACATTTATTATGTATTATTTATTTTAAGAAGGTCTTGATCAACACTTCAAGATTTCAGTTTGATTGATTTCAATTGTAACATTCTAGTTTTCTCAGTGAAAAGAAGAGCTAATGGTTAAGGGAGCACAATATCTGGCTGAACAGAAGCGTTACACCACAAAGAAAGAAATTGACATCCATAAAACAGGTTAGTGCACATTTTCTCTGCCAGGAACAGTCAGTGCCCCTCACGTATTTTTCCAGTGAACAAAGCCAAATTATTTGAGGACAGCTGCTGCCAAGCATAAAGAAAGTGCAGTAGTGACTTATTTTAGATAAAATACTGCAGATCAAAGTAAACAGTCTCAGTATAACACAAGTGTAACATGCACAATTTTAACAAACTAAAAGTAGTTTGAAATTTAAATTAACTTAGAATTCCTGTATAGATTATTATGTTGGTGTAGGTGACCACTCCAGTTTGAGGCTGGATACAGCCACAAGTAGAACATTGATTTATTTTTTTCTTTGATGGGAAGTGGAGGTCACTGGCAATATACACGGCCATTTCAGAGGACAGTTAGGTGTCAACTTGATTCTGCAGATCTGGAGTCACATGTAAGCCAGACCAGGTAGGGAAAGCAGATATTCTTGCCTAAAAAATATCAAAGAATCGAATAGGAATATACATGAACCACTGACTGGAGGCCAGCCGGCACCCATTAAATTCAAATTCCACAAGAATCCTTTAAGAGAAGTTTAAAACAAAAACAATTTGTGGATGCAAATCAATATATGGCTTTTTAGTTTGGTCAAGTGTCGAGATGAATAATGGTATGTGGATAACAAAATTTCATGAGACTTCAGCCAATATTACAAATTGGTAGCCGTCAACTGAAATACAATGATGCATGAAAATTGTGCACTTAGGAGGAAAGTGCGCACTTCTAGAAGAGCAGTTACATTTAATTTTGCCTGAATGATTATTGAGGAGGACACCACGGTAAAAAAATATTCTTAGAATCCCTCCAGATTCAACCCCAACCCTATCCCTGTCATCCTGCATTCCCCATGGCTAATCCATCTAGCCTGCACATCCCTGGACACTGGGCAACTTAGCGTGGCCAATCCACCTAACCTGCACATCTTTGGACTGTGGGAGGTACCTCGTACAGACACAGGGAGAATGTGCAAACAAGTGTAGAATTGAACCCAGGTCCCCGGCACTGTGAGGCAGCAGTGCTAACCACTGAGCCACCGTGTCACCCCAAATACTGAGAGACTGTACTGCTTAGTATTCCAGCTATCAAATGCTTATTCATTAATTAAAGCAAATGCTGAATCTTTGATGTTTTGCTGTAACAGCAAGTTGGCCTCCTGTCGTTTGGTATGGTCCTAATTAAATTTGGGCTAAGTAATTTGAATGCTATTTAATTATTAAAGCAATGAGATCACAGTAGCATTTGAAGATTCTGCCATCTCTGTCAAATGAGAGTGCAATAAATAATTGGACTAATTATTTATGTTAGTTATATTGATTCAAATGGGTATTGTACTTTTGTGTGCAACCACAGATCGGATGCACAGGCCTTGGAGCAAGTATAACAGCCATTCACCCACAATAGCTGGGACAAAGGGAATTGATTACAGGCAAAGACAGGGTGACATCCGCTGGATTTCAGTGGAGGGAAGAGAAATCTGACTGTTCTGAAGAAGGGTCAGTGGACTCGAGACACAAACTGTTTCTTTCTTCCCACAGATGCTGCCAGACCTGCTGACTTTCTCCAGCAATTTCTGCTTTTGTGTGTTTGAGAGACTTAATTTGATCGTATGCAGTTGTGAAAAATTCCCTGCAGGAAGTAAACCTCTCTATCGTGTTTGAGTTGGAGATGAACTTTCATTCTCATGTTGTGCCATCACTAAGACCTGCGATTTCCACCTCTGTAACAGTGTCTGATTCCACTTCACTTCAGTTCCTCGACTGCTGTCAAATCTCAACTGTCTAGTTTGTAGTCTTCCATTCACCAAAACTTCTGTAAGCCTACTAATCTGCTCAAGCATTTGCCCATCCTCATTAAAAACATAACCTCCAAGCTTGACGATCTGAAGAGGCTGCTGGTCAGTCTTGTGCATTTTACTTTCTGTAAGGTTAAAGTAATTTCAAAGTCTGCTGTTTGGTCGCAAAGTCACACCAAATGCCAGTCACCCACTATCAATATTCACTGACCTATGCAGTCTCCCAGTTATATGACGTATCCATTTAAAAAGTCTTTAAATCCCTCCATGTCAGACTCCTCCCTATCTCTCATTTTCTATAAGTCTTCAAAGTATTGTCACTCTGAATTGGGTGCCTTTAGCTGCCTGGATTTTGAGCTCTGCAATGCCCTCCCTGCTCCACTACTTCACTTTCTTCCTTTAAGACATGGTCCAAAACCCATTTATTGACCACGCTTTTGGTCACTGCACTAAAATGTTCCTCGGTGTCAAATTTTACTTCATGTTAACTTCTGTCAAGTGCCTTGGAATGTTTTGTGATAAGAGGTGATGAATACAAGTAGTTGTTATTGAAATCTAGAACAAAAGTGATAATTTTAAAATTGAAACTAAGTTAGTTAAAAAGAAATCAATAAGAAGGACCTTACATAGTTTTGAGAAAACCTGCAGTGCACAACCCTAGGAAACCAAACATATAGACTTAATTGGCATCCATTCTTTATGGTAAATTTGGCAGACAACTCTTTAATATGTGCCACTTGATCAGGATTTATATCTGGCAATCTTTATCCACTTGAACAGCCAAAAAGGAATTGATGCATAGAAGCACATACAAACAGGAAGCAAAAATGGCAGAGAGCTTAGGAGAGTACTCACAAAAGAAAAATGATAAACAGTCACAGACATGAAGGAAGAAAGAGATGAGAGGGAGAGAGCATCTTTGAGAGAAACAAATGTGAATGCATAAAGAGAAGTGCTTAAGAGAGAGTGCATGCATCAAGAGGCAAAGGCCACACACACACTTAATGGTCAAAGGTTTACACAGTTTTAGTTTGACTTTCTACCTTTCTGATGCTGCAAATGAACTTTGAGTCATGTGTGAAAAAAAAAACAAAAAAAAAGCACCTTTGACTTTCCAGTATCACCTGAATGGAAATTCTTTTACTGAATTTTTTATTTAAGTCTCAAAATTGATCCATACAGGTAGAACTGTTTGTCACTTTAGAGTACAATCTTCCTCTATTATCCTTTCTCCAAGCACAGGAGGTTAAGCACGTATCAACAGCTAAGCATAAGAGACACACCCACACTCAATTTTCTCCAGCTCGTGCAATTTCACAAGAGTCTGGCTACAACTACCCAACCCAACAGCACAACGTACCAGTAAGCTTCTCAAAGCTTACTAAGCTGGAGTTATTGGCTTACCTGGAGCTGCAATTTAAATAAGAGTTCTATGTCTCCAGATTCAATGAATGAGTCAGATTGCTGATTAATTATCAAAACAACCCTGAAAAACTGAAAGAACTGCAGATTCAGTGATAATGTTTTGGGTCCAGTGACCCTTCCTCTGAGGAAGATCCACAAGTTAGGTACTTCTGCATACAAGATTTGGTTTTGTTCTGAACTTCAATTATTAACTCAAACTCCCAAGCAATTCCTGACTGATTTTGCAAGGGCTATTGAATTGCTCTTCCCTCAACAACACTTAATTTTTTTTTAGAAACCAAAATACGTGTTTGGACAAATGATATGCACTTCAAAGAAAATCAATTCACACAATGTTTAATGTTTTAAGGCAGCTATTTATCCAATTCCAAATGTTAATACAATATTAAGAAGTGCTCAATACTTCACCTTCAAGGTCCTCATCTCTTGCCTTGTCAGCCAGTTCAGAGGCAGACACACTTTCCCGGCATAAAGCACAATCTTCAAGTGCAGGACTTCTCAATGTCTGGTCACCTGAAACAAAGAAGCCGATGGTATTGGAGCAAACTCAGTCACAGTTGTAAACTCAACTAATGGCTTTTATACTCACATACTCAATTACAGAACAGGTTTCATTGCTGCCCTTACCTGGATGGCTAGTTTGCAATGCAGAGTGACACCAACAGCATGGGTTTAACTCCAGCACCGGCTGATGTTACCATGAAGAGCTCTCCTTCTCAACCTCTCCCCTCGCCTGAGGCACGATGACCCTCAGGTTAAACCAGTACTAGTCATCTCTTTCTAATGACAGCAGACCTATGGCCTAAGACTATAGTGATTTAACCTTCACCTTTTTTACTCAGCAACTCAGGCCTTCCTACTGGTAATCATGCAAGCTTTTCACACTGCAATCAGTGTCAGATATAGCTCAGTTGAACTCGGTTCTCAAGTCTGAAAGGTCTGGGTTCAGGTCCTACTTCCAGACTTGAACAGAGACATTTAGACTGGCAGTCAAATACAAATGGAGTACTACCCTGTCACAGCTGCCATCTTTCAGGCAGAATGTTAAACTTAGGCCCAGTCTCAGATGCTTGCAAAAGATCCAAAGACACTGTTTCAAAAAAAGAGCAGGAGCACTCTCCTTAGTGTCCTGCCCGATATTTATCATTCAAACATCACAGAAACAGATTATCTGGTTATTACAAAGGAGGCAATGGACTAGTGGTTTTAATGCTGGACTAATAATCCAGTGACCTAGATAACATTCCGGGGATGTGGGTTCAGATCCCACAATGGTGGATGACAATCAGGAATTAAGAGTCTAATGATGATTATGAAACCATTGTCCATTGTCAGAAAAACACATCTGGTTCACTAATGTCCTTTAGGGAAAGAAACTGCCATCTTTACTTGGTCTGGCCTACACATGACTCCAGTCTCACAGCAATGTGGTTGACTTTTAACTGCCCTCTGGTCAACTAGGGATGGGTAATAAATACTGGCCTAGCCAGTGATGCTCACATCCGATGAACGAATTTAAAAAGAATACTCTTTGTGGGATCTCACTCTGCACAAATTTGCTGCCACACTTCCGACATTACAACAATGACTACACATACAAAGCAGTTCATTGTCTGCAAAGTACTTTGGCACATTCTCCAGGAAGTTTTCTGAAGAAGGGTCTAGGCCCGAAACGTCAGCCTTCCTGCTCCTCTGATGCTGCTTGGCCTGCTGTGTTCATCCAGCTCTACACCTTGTTATCTCTACTTATTTAATTGTAGTTTGTGTTTGGAGACCAGAAAGGGCCAAAAAGAGCATTCTCGACTCCTTATTTTCTTGCAATTGCTGTCCATCACTATTGCACTCTGTTACCTGGATCATATGTGGGAAACTAGATGAAGTTCTCAAAAATAAAATCTTCAAGGCAATTTCTTTACAGTGAAGTAACTCGATATTGCACATTCAGCAATGGTAAAATCTTTTACAACCGAGATTTGCAGAAGAAATGAATGCCATCGTGTAGTGCTCAAAATTTCCTCAGCATCTTTAGGACCATTGGAAAAGAGAGGTTTCTCACATTGCAACACACTAAAGTTCAACAAAATGCTTTCTCCCTGTGGGAATTCGACTCATTATTGGTGCTCTCCCAGACTGATCAGCTGACTTAATGAACCTACCTACACAAATGAGTTTATTCAAGACTGAAACCATAGGATTTTTACAATAATTTACCAACTGTCGCCAGAGTGCTTGATTCTAACCACTTAGATTTCTGTTAGAGTCATTTGTGCAGATAGCAAAAGATAGTTTAATTGAACCTTAAATTTGTTTTAATATTGATGTAAATTGCTTACAATCCAAAAATAAAGTCAATTAGAGATTTAAAAATCTCTTGTTTACAACAGCTGGAGTACAAAGGAAATAGATTTAACAGTATACTATGTAGCTAAACATCGGAATTGAAGAACATTTTGCAGTTCAGTAAGCATCAGTGCAGAATAGAGACAAGTTAATGTTTCAGTCACAAGTCCAGACCCAAAATTAGCTCATTACCTTTCTTTTCTATCCTGCTGCCTTCATATTGTAACTTGGTCGCCATGACCTCGAATAGGGTTTTAAGAATGCTTCGCAGGTCACTTGCATAGTTAGTCTGTAGCTGATCAGCAACACCTATGATGTTGATAGAGAGATTTTGTTTTTAAAATCAAAGCATATATAATTTTCTACTCACGGACCTGCTGTAAACTATGGAGACACTGGATCTGGTTGTGACGATGACAAAGAAACTGCAAGTGGTTATAGGTAAGTTGAAGAAGTGGTTAAAAACCTGGCAGATAGAATGTAATGTTGAAGTGTGAGGTCATGCATTTTGGTAGGAAGATTCAAAAGGTAGACTATTACTTAAATAGGAAGAGACACCAGACCAGTGCAGCAGTGAAGAATCTGGGTGTCTTCTGCATTAAAACATAACATATTGCAAGTGCAGTAAATAGCTAAGGTGGCAAACAGATTTTTTTTATTACTTGGGGTTTTTAAAAAAAGGGAAGTCTAGTTTCAGTCCCCATGTTTTAAAAAATGATATCCTGACAATGAAGGCAGTTCAAAAGAGTTTTAACCATGTGGACCCCTGGGATGAAGGGGTTGACTTATCAAGAATGTTTAAACAGGCTAGGCCTTTATTCATTCGAATTTAGGGGAACAAGGGTGATCTTGCAAAATATAGGAGATTTTGAGGGAACTTGACAGGATAAATGTTGAGTAAACGTTTCCATTAGCTGGGGAGTCTCAAACTAGGGAATATAGCTATAGAATAAGGGTATACTCATTTAAAACTGAGATGGAAAGGAATTTCTTCAAACAGAGAAGTGATTGTCTGGAATTCTCTACCCCAGACAGGATTTAATGAAGATACAGACTGATTTTTGAAATATGAAGAATTGAGGGCTATGCTGGGCTGGTACAAAAGAGAGGTCGAGGCCTGGAGCAGATCTGTCATCATCTTGTTGAAGGCAGGACAGGTTTGAGGAGCTGAATAGCCTATTCTTGTTCCAATTTCTTTTGTTCAATGCATCACCTGAAATCAAACATGAAAAAGCAGGGGAAAACATCTGATTTAACTGCCACACCATACCCCATAAGCATAATTATCTTTACTTTTAAAAATATTTTTCTACCTATGACATTGGCCAATGAGTCTATTAATACAATGGCCTGGATATGCTGTCAGTGGAGAAGCATACCTTGACTCCACCACACTAGCACCCCACCACATGCCTATCCTAAGAAGGCAGTCACTGTTTATCCTGAAGGCAATGGTGAGCAATGGACAAGTGCAGGAGAAGGCAGCATGATGTATATGATCAGCCGTGATTTTATTGAAAAATGCAACATCTCAAGGAGTTGAATGGCCTACTCCTGCTACTTGTTTAACAACTGAGTTTTACTATTTGGAAGTTCAGATGTAACAACATCTCACAGTTTAAATTTTGATATCACACACACACTGGGCTAAACCTCTATCACTTCATTTTCTCAAGAGGTTAAAATGTCACAGAAGTTACTTTTAAAATTGATTTCTCCAATGAATGAGAAAAGCTTGATCTCCATCTCTTGCCCTCATAAAAGGTGGTGGTAAGCTGGCTTCTTCAACAACTGTAGTCTGAGAGATGCTGGTATACTCACAATGCTGCGAGGAAGTGTGATTCAGGATTTTTGACCCAGGGAAGAAATACTCATCTAGTTCCAAGTCAGGATGCTGCGACTTGGACAGGAACATACAGATGAGGGCCTCCCCAGAATCTTCTGTCCTTGTCCTTCTAGGTGGTAGAGGTGTGGGATTGGAAAGCGCTGTTGAAGGAGCCTTGGTGTGTTAGTCCAGTGCATCTTGGAGGTGGTGCAAACTCTGCCATCTCACACCAGTCGAGAAGGGAATATTTAAGATGGAGGAGTGGAGTGCTCATCAAATGGATTGCTTTGTCCTGAAGCTTCAAGCTCCTTCAGTAGTTTTTGGAGTTGCACTCATCAGGCAAGCTATGTGTATTCCATTCCACTCCTGACTTGTGGCTTATATAAAGTGGATAAGCTTTCAAGAGACAAGAGGCGTTATTCATCAGAATTTCCAGTTCCTCCCCTATACTTGTGGATGCAGTATTTTTGGCTTCATCGATTTCTAGTCAATGGTAACTCCCAAGATTTTGACAGTGGAGCATTCGATGATAATGAATGTCAAGAGGAGATGGTCAGGCTCTCTTGTTAGAGATGGTCATTACCTGGCATTTGTGTTACATAGAACATAGAACATTACAGCGCAGTACAGGCCCTTCGGCCCTCGATGTTGCGCCGACCTGTGAAACCAATCTGAAGCCCATCTAACCTAAACTATTCCATTATCATCCATATGTTTATCCAATGACCATTTAAATGCCCTTAAAGTGGGCGAGTCTACTATTTTTGCAGGCAGGGCATTCCACGCCCTTACTACTCTCTGAGTAAAGAACCTACCTCTGACATCTGTCCTATATCTATCACCCCTCAGTTTAAAGCTATGTCCCCTCGTGCTAGCCATCACCATCTGAGGAAAAAGGCTCCCACTGTCCACCCTATCTAATCCTCTGATCATCTTGTATGTCTCTATCAAGTCACCTCTTAACCTTCTTCTCTCTAACGAAAACAGCCTCAAAACCCTCAGCCTTTCCTCATAAGACCTTCCCTCCATACCAGGCAACATCCTGGTAAATCTCCTCTGCACCCTTTCCAATGCTTCCACATCCTTCCTATAATGCGGTGACCAGAACTGTACGCAATACTCCAAGTGCGGCCGCACCAGAGTTTTGTACAGCTGCAACATGACCTCATGGCTCCGAAACTCAATCTCTCTACCAATAAAACCTAACATACTGTACGCCTTCTTAACAACGCTATCAACCTGGGTGGCAACTTTCAGTGATCTATGCACATGGACACCGAGATCTTTCTGCTCATCCACACTACCAAGAATCTTACCATTAGCCCAGTACTCTGTATTCCTGTTACTCCTTCCAAAGTGAATCACCTCACACTTTTCCTCATTAAACTCCATTTGCCACCTCTCAGCCCAGCTCTGCAGCTTATCTATGTCCCTCTGTAACCTACAACATCCTTCTGCACTATCCACAACTCCACCGACTTTGGTGTCATCCGCAAATTTACT